ATCTAACCAATGAGAAAATGCCACACCAGTGTAAGTTCTATAAAACTACAGGCAGTCATACTATGCCTAGTAGTAGTCATGTGAATCTAGTAATAGCTCCTAGGAATGAAATATCACATGACAAGCGTGCAGTAATCAAATTTTTGGCTGATCAAAGCTACTCCATGTTTTTGTGTAGGAATTGTATGCATGACTCTGAAAAAGGTATTGAAACTGGCACTGTTTATAATTGAAGAGCTCGAGGTAGGAAAAAAAAACTTCCAAAAGTGATATGAAGTATCTCAGGTATGTTCTTGACGATCGAGTACAGATATTGTTAACAACCTTGTTGTAAATATAGATGTAAATATTACTTTAAGTCGTGAAATACACATTAACAGCAACTGGGCGCGTAGCTGCTCGAAAACTGCTGCTGAGAACAGGTAACCATACCAAAAGTTTGAAATAGGCATTAAATAGCAAACAGTGGAATGAACAAAGTTGGAGGTGTGGCCTCTTTACATAATAAGCCCAAGTTTGAATTGGGCGAAAGCAACCAACGAAAGTTCGTTCTAGACAGAGAGAGGAACAGCATCATAATCAATGTACAACATCTACATTGAGCACACAAGTTTGAGGCTGCATCTCAACCAACGGTGTCAGTGATCTACACAAACCTGGTGGCACTCTGACTGCTGACAAGTACAGGTAAATTCTGATACATTATATCGGGAAAAGAACTTAGCATGACAATTATCTCAAACATATGACAAATATAGTAAAACAATACCTTGTAAGGAAGTCGCTGGAACATTCACGACCATGGTTTGGCCTGCACAAAGTTCCAGTCTGAACATTCTCGATGCTGCATGTGCTTATGTAAAAACTGAAAAGGCCAAAAGGCAATCAAACACCTTGGTTGAATTGTGAGGAGTAATACAGGGCATTTAAAACCATAATCCACAATGATTAATTGTATAGTAACATGAAACAAGACGCAATGATGTAGTAAAGCAAAGAACCTACACAGAAAATACTGGTAGATTGTAGAACTTGTTTGTTTTTCTTCTTGTGTTATTAATAAATTCACTATGTAGTTCGGATTGTTCCTTGTTTGTGATTCCCGTATGTATATAGCCTGTGTGTTTCCATCATTACGTCTATTACTGTATGTGTTGAACTAATTTTAAAACTGGGGTAAAGGAAGTTACTTAAGAAAAACAAGGCGAGTTGGATGAGGCTGCTCCTTTTATACATATCCAGCGCTGAATGTGGTGAATTATAGTTTTGTACAAGCAAGTTATACTGCTATAAATAGGCCGATTCGATTAAAATACTTTTGTGCTGTAAATCTATTGGCTATATGTAGATATTTAAACACAATCATCCAATAAGCTGGGAACAATACCTGTGCTATTAACGGGAAAGCAAGCCTTCGACACCACACTAACAAGTCTTCAGTTCTCTCGTGCAAGTAAAATATGTCAAATATAAAACAAATACTCAGTTCTAACCAAAAAGGCTCAGAACAATACCTATACTATTAACGACAGATTAGCAACTCTTCAGTTCACTAATGCAGGTAAATTATTTCAAACCTAAGTTCTAACTCGATGCACATCTTTCAATGTGCATGTATAAAGAAGTATGAAGCACGAATAGAAGTTTATAATGGTAATAATATACGATAATTGACAAAACAGGAAATCAAAATACGGAAATACTTTGGCGATAACTTGTTACGTTCAAGAGAACATGAATATGCATGGAAATGTCACGGATGTTTTTCATACATGAAGCTATTATTTTCAAACCAACAGTCTCAAGGTTATGCTGGTTAAATAAAACGAGATCCTGGCGCCTACTATTGTATGTTTTATTTTAGAGGGAGGTCTCGAACTGTTATTTGGCAATACAGTCATTCCGTTGCTTCACACTAATGGTACTCCACAACTCAACTGATAATTTCAAACACTGAAAATACTATATTTAACTCTAATTTCGCGCAAGCACAACAATTTGGTGGAATAGATATTTTCCCGGTATTTTATTTGTTTTAAACCTTTGAAATGCCATACAGTTATGTTTAATATAAAAGATAATAGAAATTTTTAATTATATCTAAACTTTACAAAATGTCCTTCAATTAAATTTTGAATAATATCAAACTTGACAAAATACCTAATCTCATTTGTCCCTAATTTCAAAATACTGAAAAAAGCAGTCAGAAGCACCCTACCATCCACATTAAAGGATTGACTGTCACTCTTATAACGCCCCCACTGCTAAAAAGTTTTTGTCCGGGATGGATATTTTGTAGTATCGCAAGGGTTTGAAGTAGGCTCACCAGCTCTGAAATCCAGAGCTCTACCACAGGGTTAACTGCCCCTCCCCATCCAGGACAGTATCCTATCGTAACTCTAGGCTAGTAAATCTCCATCTTGGAATAATTGTAATAATATCTGAATACCAGAGTGCATTTATATCCTCAAAATCTGTAAAATGCAAAAGAGTTTGAAACTGCGGAAATCTGAATAAACTGATTTACTACCAAGACACATGGTGTCGTGCAGCCAAAACAACTTGCAGGACACATTGTGTGTTATTAACAGGAGTGATAGTTTAGCAATTTTCCACTTTCTGTAGCTCGAATTGTGGTAATCCAAACTAACATATATTTGCAGTGGATGTTCTATACTGGACTCTTACTTCATGTACCAAATTTCAAGGCAATCAATTACGAAATACACGAGATATAAAATCTCCAATTTTAATTGAATTTTTTCCTATTTTTTTTCTTCGCACCGAAAGTGCGGAAAATTTGTTTGATAGAAAAACATACTTAATTGTCATGGATTTTTTCAAATTTGGTACACTGATAGAACTTTACAGCCTACAAAAGGGTGTCAAATTTGGTTTATATATAAGCTACATGTGGAATGTTATTCAAGAAAAAAACACTCAATTTTTACCAAAATATTTTCTTACGAAAAAAGTCACGTGAGCTATCGGTCTAAACTTCTACTGCTGCTTCATCTAAGAGTAAAAGTGGATTGTTTTTAGTTGTTTTTTTATCATTCCGATTAAAGACAGCTGATTTAGAGCAGCAAAACTAAAGGGTGAAAGTACGTGCAGATATATAAGTATTAGGCCAAGCAAACTAGATTAGCAGTTTCTAGCTTATGTTTTCAAAATAATCATACGATTTGACGGTTATTATTCACTATTCATTGCCAACTTTTAAGCATAGATTTGCTAAGTTATATGAAATTCTCCTAATTAAATAGCGTTTAGTGTCACGTGGTATTTACTTTAGCAATTAACGTAAATAATGATGCTTGATACGACTGTACTGAGTGCATGCGGGTGACGAAAAGAAACTGTTAATCTAGTTTCCATGGCGTTACTATAAAGGAACTTATTAACAGTGTTTTAGTGAGGAAAAACTACCACCATTAATTTAATAAAGAATTTGGTCTGTTTCGAACAGTAAGGTTACGACCTTAAAGCTAATGTTGGTTACATCGGGTGTCACTTTTTCTTACTTGCTGTTGTTTGATGGTGTGTATTAACAAAAAGCCATGATCTCTAATAAAAAACACCTTAGGTGTGAAAAAAGGTGCGGCCAAAAAAGATTAAGCGTGCGACTTAAACGAATTAAATCAAAACTGGCGGACAAACTAGTAACTACATTTATAACATTGATAATAATTTTACAGCAAGTATTCATTCATTAGTTAGCTAGGCCGCGTATTTTGTTTTACCCACCATCACGAGCTTGAGAGGCAACGTTTTTTGTTTCATTTGGGGCATGATGGTGGGTAAAACAAAATACGCAGCCTCTCACGCTCAATCCTTTTTTTCACACCGAAGGTGATTTTGATTAGATTTTACGGCACAAGGATTTATAAAATACAGTTGCAACTGGTTGCGACTGAATGGCACCATATGACCTCACAAGCAAAATGAGGTTTGGAATATTAAGAATGTGGAAGGAATACTATTTTAGTTCGAATATAAGTAAATATACCTGCAAAAGTACATTACGTTCAACAAAGTATACAGCTGGTGAAGTGCTTTTACACAGAGCACCATGACTGACTGTAGGGTGGTTAAACTTAAAATAAACATAATTTACGCACTTGTAAGAGTTTTTACGTTTGCATCAGATTAGCGATTGTAAGTAAATGCTGTTTACTCTAGAGGTGAAACTTGTCAACTGTTTACTTTCAGTAACAGATGAGCCGAAGCATATACCTTGTACGTAACTGGCAGCATTTGCAATGTGTTAAAATACTTTCATGAACATAGCAGTCCAAACAAAGGCGGGGAACCTGTTAGCAAATAAGGAGCCCCCTCCCAGATTCGCAATTAACATTGCAAATAAGATGCTCCCTCTCAAATTCACAATTAACATAGGAAATAAGGCGCCCCTACCAAATTCACAATTAACATATCAAATAAGGTGCCCTTCTCAGATTCGCAACTAACATTGCAAATAAGGTGTCCCCTCCCAAATACAAATATATTTCGAAGCTTATCAGTAAGCGGCCCCCGGTAAGCGTTAAGTCTACGAATTTATAACGCTAAAATCAAGGGTTCGATTCCCCTTAGTGGACACAGCAGATAGCCCGATGTGGCTTTGTTATAAGCTACACAAACACACACTCAGTCTAAGCTAGGATTTACATAAGGTGTCTAGTAAGACAAACATTAAAGCTCAGAGAAAAAATAACGGATTATTTTGTTCTTTATCCCATTTTGTCCATAAAAGTATCTAAGGAATTAATAATTTACAAAGGACTCTTTCACTACCCCCTTTAGCGCTTTATGAGACATTTTTTTTCCTTTGATTCTTCAGTATCATTGAAGTATGTGCCTGTGTGATACTATTAATAACTGAATAAAATGGATACTATGTTTTACATGAAAACAAGTTTATCTTTGATTGCCCACCAAAACTATACTTCTTATATCACATATATATAGCTGTAGAACAACAACAACATAATTGGAAATACCTCATTAGACTTGGGTTCTCTTCCTTTCTTTAACCTCCTTCTGTCACCGGAATTATTGTTATTACCATTCACCGGTAACGTAGAAGAGGAAGCAGGGTAGTCATCTGGTGGTGGTGGAGGAGGCAGTGGGAACATTGGAGGTGGTGGAGGTGGTTGTAACAATGGTCGGGTTTTCTCCAGATCTACATATCGATGGGGCAGGGTGCCATTCATGCTGTACGGGTAGATTTTCTCGGTCACTGCTTCTGGAACAAGTCGAAATATTATTTACTGTATACGGAAATGCAAGAACTTTAATTAAAACCCACTTTATATTTTTTCAAAATGTACATCTTTAATTAGATCTCTACCACGAGTAAACTTATCTAACCTGTGCGTGTACACGTAACTGTGCTTCTTAATTAATAAAATGGTATTTTCTATACAAAAACATCATTTTAAATAATTCATTTTCGAAGAGATGCGACATAATGTATATAATGTGAAGTTGGAACAACAAAAATAAATGTTTCTTTACAGAAAGCAGCTAATGTTTTTGTTTAAAGATATTACTAAATTGTTTGTTTGAATTTATGCACAAAGCTACACAATGGGCTATCTGTGCTCTGCCAACCACGTGTATCGAATGCCGGTTTCTAGCGTTGCAAGTCCGCAAACATACCGCTGTGCCACTGGGGGGCATATTACTAAATACATCACTTCATTAAACAGTTTACACCAGCACATATAAAAATATACAGACCTCTTGAGGAGGCATTGACGGGGCGGATTGACCCACTGGGACACCGAACGATTGCCCGATAGGTCGGTGCATTTGACGCATTTTTGTTTAACCAGTATGCAACATGTGAAAAATTACTAAATCGCTGTTAGTGATATTGCCCGGACTGGTCCTTAAATGCCAATCCACCCATATGCACTGAAGGTGGAAAATCTTTTCAAGACGGCTTATTAAATGCCTGATAGCATAAATATTCTTTGAAAACAAAACAAAAAAAGAAACTCAAATTTTTGGCGCTTTTATATTAAAGCATATCTTTATATTTGTTGTTCATTAATATTTATATTTTTTTTCTTCTCGAAAATAAAGTTTTCACTCTTGTTTTCAGTATTTGAAAAATATGCACGTACCAACACATACAGTTTGCTGTCTCTAGAATGTGTCTGGGTTACTTTATTTTTATTTAATGACATGTGGACTTGTCTGTTGACTAACGTGCCTCGGTTATATACCACACACAGACACACACACGGAACTCGTGTGTAAAGTAACGTGAACGAATCATCCTAGTGCTATGAATCTGAGAGGCACGTGAAGACTCAACTCCGGGAAAAAGGTCATATGGTGTTTGTAATACTAAGAATATATATAATACATAAATAAATAATATCTAGCTGTATTTTTAAACTTATTGACATGTACTACGTACAGACGAACAGCATACGTGTGTTAAAAGTTTAAAAAATATGATTAAGGGAAATTAATGTTGGTTTTTTGTTTTAAATTCCGCGCAAAACTACACGAGAACTATCTGCGCTAGCCGTTCCAAATTTAGTAGTGATAGACTAGAGGGAAAGCAGCTAGTCAACACCACCCACCGCCAATTCTTGGGTTAGTCTTTTACCAACGAAGAGTGGGATTGACCGTCAGATTGTGAGTCGTGTGCCATAACCACCACGTCATGCCAAGTCCGAATCTTTATTAAATCAAAATGTTCAACATAGGTTCATCATCATAATGTTTTCACTACAGCCAGTTGAGCATCAGTAGTAATTCTTAGTGAATGTGAGTAAGTTAAGTTTCAAAATTGAAATCTGTCTCTGTCCATATTCAATAACTCGTTTATGAATGTTAAAAACGCACTACAAACAATCCATTATATCTTTCAGCACTACAAACAATCCATTATATCTATAAGCACTACAAACAATCCATTATATCTATCAGTATTCTATTACACAATCCATTATATCTATCAGCACTACAAACAATCCATTATATCTATCAGTATTCTATTACATAATCCATTATATCTATCAGTATTCTATTACACAATCCATTATATCTATCAGCACTACAAACAATCCATTATATCTATCAGTATTCTATTACATAATCCATTATATCTATCAGTATTCTATTACATAATCCATTATATCTATCAGTATTCTATTACATAATCCATTATATCTATCAGTATTCTATTACATAATCCATTATATCTATCAGCACTATAAACAATCCATTATATCTATCAGTATTCTATTACACAATCACTCACCCATTGCCCTATTATATCGTCTCTGTTCCTTCTTCACATACACACAAGACAAAACAAGGGCAAAGACTATGATGGCTACAGAAGCTGCTAATGGCGCCAGAACCGGTAAACGAAGGTACACAGGCAGTTCTTCCTCTCCCGTGATTACGGCATGAAAATTCCATTTCATCGGACCTTCTGAAGAAACCATCAAGTTTGAAAACGTTTTATTCTCCATGTAGTTTTTACTTGTAGTTTCTTATATAAATATACATGCTGTGTTTGTGAGATTTTACCAGTGTCTTTGATAATAAAAATTGTGGAGAACTCTACATTTACTTCCACTTACACATTTACCTACAATTTCATTAATTTCTTACGCCTTATTAGAAATGTAATGATTGATTTATCCAAAGTCATATATTCATCATAAAAATACGTTTTAAATACTATTAAAAATTTCAGTTTTTAATCCCTTAATTGCTGATTATAGATACAGTTTACTTCTTGCTACACACACACACAATAAATTATACTACATGTTAAAGTTATAACGTAGAAAGAAATTCAGTAGTTTATTTAACTGAGAGATGATGCTTAATGATATTTTTAACTCTACAACTACCGATTTGTTTACATACAGTTCATTATCGAAGGGATCCATACACTGCATCATATTGAGCAATGTTACGTTTGTGCCTGTTACAACACTTCGTGTGAAAAACTGACCAAAATTATGGATGAAATAGCTCATTTTTATATAAATTACGTATGACTCCCCAGCAATGGGATTAATTGCTGTATTGTTGGTTTCCTGTGTGACTCATACATTATCAGGAACCCTGTAACTACCAAACTCATGAAACCACAAGCAATTTAACACATAAATTGATTAAAAAGATGTTTTTAAAAATTCAATGAGGGTCCATTTAGTTCCCATCAGCAATTCTAGTGTACTTACAATTTTATATATCGTCTTACAGCAAAATGATCCAACTTTCAAGAATTGCAAATATATTAATTACATTATTTCATCATTACAGTCTATTTATTTGTCATTATTGCAAGATCTTTAACGCTTTTTTTTATTCTATGTCATGAGCTTCCTGAAACGTTAATAGCTCATTTTGTTCACATCAATGAGATGAAACTACTGGAAGTGAGAAACAAAAGATTTGTTTTCTTGAACTGGATTATCTAATCAAAGCTAGTGTTGGCCTTGTAGACTTACTTGCTCCGTCTGTCTTCACTGAAACAGTCTCACTTGGGTTACTGTTTCCTATCTGGCTAGCAGCTTGGAGATAAAGGTGATAAACACTTCCAGCCCTGAGCCCCTGCAGGGTATAAACCTTCTTTTCTGTCTGAGGAATAGTTACTTCAGTCCATGTGCCAGAGTCTTCTTTGTAAAATAAGATGTAATCTAAAATGCAAAGGCAATCAATTTCTCAAAGATCAGCTTCACATGGACAATGTTAAAAATGAAGTATATTATACCTAGCTTTATATATTTCATTGAAGCTAAGGGGAACATACAAAACTACAAATGTAATTAGTTGCATTATAAAACAGCACAATGGGAAAACAAAATTTCATTTATGTGTTATTCTCAATATACTATTAACAAGTACCAATATTCTTTAGAAGGTTATAATAAAAGAAAACATTTATATTTGCTTTAATAATACAGATTTCAAAGAGAAAACAGGCATTTACTTTAGACACGAAAGACCTTCAGAAAGAGATTCTTTTGAGAGTAAACAGAATTGGGAGAAAGGCACTTACGTGAGATTATGTCTGAAGACTGTTCCCAATTGATAGTAATAGTGGTTTCTGACTGAGCACTGACCCACAGGGATGGAGGTGGTGGTGGATCTAAAGATGTAAACAAATGTTAATAAAATTTCATTAACATAAATTATATTTACATTTATTAGTCAAGCCAAAAGAAACAGAATAAGAAAATATAATTTCTGTTTTCACTAAATATAAAACACTATGTTAATAAACAATCACTACAAAACAAATGATTTCCTAACTCTATGCAGATTTGTAGTTTTTCTTTTCTTATTGGGAATACTTATTACACTCTCTAAATATATAAAAACCATTACTTACCTGAATCTTTGGTTCTCTTTAGAATTTCTTGAGATTCAGGTCCTGTACCTGCATCATTGAAAGCCCGAACTACAATACCATACTCTGTATTTTTAAGCAAGTGTCGAAGTAAGTATTCTTCTGCAAGACCTTCACTAAATGGTACAAGTTTGTAAGAATAAGAATCAGTTGAAGCCTTTTCTTTGTAGCCAACATAATAGCCCTTCAGTTGCCCATTCCAGTGGTCCTTTGATGGTGCCTGACAATAAAACCATTTGCATAATTAGAACTTGATGCAAGGCTTAAGCAGACCAAGAATAAAATACTTATTCATACATTTTAATTCAGCATAGATGAAAATCAATATTTAGATATTTTTTGTGCAGTCTAGTCTCATTCAGGAAGTATAATATTATATTCAAATAATCTATTACTTTTTTAATCACTAACTGGTTGTTTGTTTTTAGCCACAGATGCACAATGGGATATATGCCCTATGTCCACTGCAGGGAATCAAACTCCAGATTTTAGCACCAGAGTTAGATGACTCACAAAGTAAGAAATCCAATGACCATAGCACTCTTCGAAATGTAGAACTGTTTTTTTTCCTGAAGAAGGATTGTCCATCAAAAAGCACAAAGGATATTTCCAAGTTTTTGCAAGACATCTTTGCAGAAGTCAATATTAACCAGAGCTTTCCCTAAGGATTTTTTTCAATTGCACAATTATAATTTAACGTCATCGTATTTTAACACATGACACCTTATTGCACCTCATATATACAGGCCTAGTAACAAATAATCCACAAACTGAAGAATATTCTAGCAAATACATTTATTTATCAACCCTGGGATGGAATTTTATAATCTTAACTAATGTTTTTATAATATTTATCCACTTGAACTTACTTATATGGGTGAATTTTCAATTGCACATATTTTTACAGGTGCACAATATGTGATCAACTGCACATTAGGAAAACCCCTGATATTAGTTTGATTTTATCAAATATGTGAGGGGAATACTTTCATATGCAGAGTTGGCCTAAAGGTAAGACAAATTAGGCAACCTTTGAATGTGGGGGAATCTTCTGTATGGGTATTTCTTATGAGTGGTTCTTGAAGATTAAGCTACAAAAAGTATATCTGACCCATTAATGAATGTACCACAATATTCTTTTATACAATTTCCAAATACCAAAAAAGGTCCTTCACTTTGCATCTTTTCGTAGGGCCCCACAGCTAATCAGCACTGTTCACGTGACTCTAGTATTCATCTTGACAAAAACTTTATAAGATCAAAACTGTATTGAAATATTAAAGAATAATGTTTTCCACCATAATTAAGTACATACAACATTCTATTTTATATAGTTATATGAATACAACATATAAGAGAGTAAAACATACCACATCCTTTTAACTTTTAAAATTACTATCACATGAAAAAAAAAAGCTTACTGAATTTACACAAATACATCAAAATTGAAAAGGGGTTAATATCAAAACAATAAGAAAAATATTATCAAGCATGTAAAAAATATGTGAACCCAGAGGCGTTGCTAGGCACTGGCACATAGGGACAATGCCCCGATTCTATTTGACAGTTCCCCAAATCCATCAGGATAGAAAACTATGATCGATATAATATGAAATGCCAAAAATTCCCACGAGTTCTGGGCCCAAGTTCCGAATCTCTTAAGTACCTAGTGACACCTCTGCATAAACCTACATTCTCATCTAACACACTAACCTTCCATTTGATATGAAAAGTACCAGCTCCTCTGGCTTCAACTTGTACATCAGTAGGTGGGGCACTTGGTTCTTAAAGAATATGGACCATAAAAAGTATATTATTGTACATAAAATACACAATTTACTTAAGTAAAAATAATTACAATGTAACTGACAGCAGTTTGACTAGATATTATCTCATTATGAAATAAACCTAACAAGTTAACCAAAGACCTATTACATTGCATATTTGTTAGGGCTAAACAATATATGTATTTATCCCAGAAAAATGGATTCTGTAATTCAAAATATTTGCTTTCACTGTTTTGTATTTTTCAGTTGTATTTAAATATCTAAGAATAAATGAAGTGGAAAAAAATAATTGATGATGATTAATAAGGTCTGATTTTGTTGGGAAGGTATGCTTTTTTTGTTTTGTGGCAAAGACACTAAGGCTATCTGCCACTGTCACTTTAACAATCAGGCCATGCCGGGCTCTTGTTGGGAAGGACAAATATTTCAAACAAGTTTTCAATGAAAAATTATTAACTTACTCTTTGTGACAATTTGAAATTATGATTACTAAAATTAGTTAAAAATCATACAACTGTTTTTTTTTTGCAACTGACTAATCCTCTGTATTGCTTCTTTTTTTGAAGTTCATTGTATGCATGGTGTACAGTGCATATATGTAAATGCCACTGTATGATTTATCACTATTGGTCATGCTTGGATGTGTTTGTTACAACACACCACAGTTGGGGAAGTTTCATTAAACTTGATTTGGTTAACACATATTATACAATCTACATAAACGAGCAATATTTCTATAGCAAATACATGTATGATTAACATGACTGACAAAATATCTCTGTTTATATTTGAAATTAAACTTGTATTTGTCCTCAGTTAACTGAATGGAACTGTCAGTATTCATTTTTATCGTTCGTAAACAAGCACAGAAGCATGAATGAATGTCGGAAACAAACACTGTTTTTTTTTCACTGTATGCATTCAAGCCCTAGAGCCCAGAGGCTACTAAAGTATTCACTCATAATATGTAGGGCATACACCCAAATATATACATACATATATATCAAATAAGAGTCATAGCTTCAAAACTATTATATCAATTACATTAATTGTCATTAGGCAATCAAGATCAGCACTATAAACCAATAATGAACTTAATATAAGTTCAAAACTATTTAAAAAAAACAACAAAAAACCTTTACACTTTCCTGTCATTATCAAAAAGTCATAACCACCGGGACAGAGTTATTACTGGAAAAATATGTCAGAATATCTTATGAGGAAGGATATTTGTGCAACAAGAGTGTCAATTGAAATGGAGGCAAAGGATAAAACATCTAAAAATATAGGTGTGTTCAGTGTTTTCCCATAAATGTGATAAAATGTGCACAGTTAAGTGAGCAACCAGCTTTAAAATCAAAATCCAAGCCAATCATGAGTGATGCTTTCATCTATTACGTGATGACGGTGATCACAAAAAGATTCCTTTCACCCAAAAAAGCCACTGTAATGAAACTGGGCTTATAAATGAGGATTTACAGGCGATGAGGGCTCACACACAAAAATGGAATCACAAACAACTGTCAGTCCTCTAATGAAGTTCCCAATGGACTTTTCTGCCTTTGGGTTGCTTAAATGTGATCTTAGAAGCTGATGCTCACATACAGTATAAAGTCTGTGGAAAGTCTGTCAAGAAGTGTGATTTTTTACAAAAATTCATCACACTGAAAATTATGTTGCCAATAAATAGTGTATATATGGCTATTGGATCAAGCATGACCAATGATGAAGAAAGTAGTTTAAAGAACAGTACAAACCTACAAATCATTCTTAGAAGGTATGAGTAACCATAATTATGGTAATATTTACTTACATTCTATGATGAAACATTGTTTGTACTTTGAACATTGACTAAGGTTTGTGTGTAACATTTACCTTCTTCCTTTGTAAGAAAACGTCGGTTTTCTGATGGGGTTCCTTTCCCTACATTGTTTTCTGCTATCACTCGTACTACATATGATGTTCCTGGTTGAAGTTCTCGAAGTATTGTTGAAGTCTGTGCTGAAGAAACAGTCACTTCTTCTAGTCGATGTGGAGCACCTGGATTGAGAAAATACACAGAGTAAGAAATTGACAACTAAACCTTTTTTTGCTTTTTAGGTTTCACTGTCATTACTAACACCAAAGAAATTTTAAATTACAAACATCAATGTAGAAAAATAAAAATTATTGAGTACCTTGATTTCTCCAATACTGAATTAAGTATTTGTTGACGGGGCTATTTCCACTATAGGGCACTGTCCAGGTGACACTAATACTTCTACTCCATGCTTGGTCAACACGAACATCTGATGGGGCTGAAGGTGGTTCTGCAAGTTTTTGTAAAGAAAAATAACACATCACTAACTGAAAATAATTAATAGCTATGTTGATTTGTTTGTTGATAAGTGCAAAGCTACATAATGGGCTATCTGTTCTTTGCCCATGACGGGTATCAAAACCCAGTTTGTAGCATTGTTAGTCTGCAGACATACCACTGTAGGCACGTGGGAGGGGGGGGGGCTATGTTGAACAGTCACCTAGTGATTTCATTAAACTACTTTGTTACAAAACAACTTTAAAATACCACAAAAAATAATATTGCTACAACTCGATTCAAAAATGATCTTGAGAAACAGACAATAGTGAAAGCGAAAATAATCAAGTTTTAAACTACCTTCAAATGTTGTTTTCTAAGCAAGTTTATTATTAACGTACAGGTTGGTACACTTTATAAAAATATCAACTCAGTATTCGATATATGCAAACAAGCTGTAGCATAAAAGAGTTATAACTCTTAAACTATAAAATTATTGTTGAATATATACTGATGTGCATAACGGGCATTACCTGAAGACAAAGTAAGCAATGCACAACTAAATGAGCTTTTCTTATTTGATTATTTTATAGGTGAAGCCTATATGTTAATTTAAAATTCTACAAACAGATTTTCTTTGGTAGAAGTAGATAGTTCTATAATAGCTAGCTATAAAAGTAAATGGTATGATGAATACATTTTATATGTGGATTTAAATATATTTAGTGATTTGAATATACCACAATAAGTTAAAAATCAGTACATAAAGAGATGATCTATTAGATAAACTCAAAAACTGTGTAACATAATCGAAACTTAGTGTAATATACTGTAAAACATAAAACTATATATAATAATTCAAACTTAGTGTATTTTTTAGGTCGTTGTTAACATACAACAATATTTACTTGTGAAATTATTAGCATTAAAAGTTAATAATAATTAGGACTACATACCAAGGACAATCATTTTTATAGTTCTTTGGTCTTCGCCATACGTATTCTTTGCTAAACAAGTAAACAGACCATTATCACTGCGGTCCACGCCGTGAACTTGAATCTCAGACAACATTCCCCCTTCTGTTGTTCTGTCAAATATCTGGTAGCTAGAATATATGTAGATGGAACTTTTGTTAAAACATTTCAGTTGCTGCAAGTAATAATCAGTTTATTAATTACCTAAAGCTGAGGTTACTATAGGTTAATATCAGAACACAACAACTATGTTAACTTGTGATTTATATGTTGATGACACTTCGCTAGGTCCCCACCCTAGCACAAAAGCTAATATTGTGTGAAAGTGCTAGGTGTTTGGATTAAATATTATAAGGTCTTTGACTGGAAATTGATTTTTAGTGTTCAAGGTGGTTATTAGAACAATTCTAAAGTATATAATGTGAGACTAATTTCATGAAAAATGCTAAGCCAACATTACATTAAGTTCTCGACACTTGATTTTCAACTTTTATTCGTTTCAACGTATAGAGTATGCTGAAACAAAGAGAAGCTGAAACGGTCATTACGTTTAATTAAAAGTTATTCAAAATTTCAAAGTAACTAGTAGGTCTGCTAAGGTAATGTCTTCTGATGGTTAACTTTAAGTGCCTGACAATCCAAAGAAAGAAGAACGTTTGTCCTTGAAAACCTGAGCGGGAGGAAATAATTTGAAAAAAAATTTTCCTTTGTCAAAATATGACAAAGAAGTTCACTTGTGATAATCTATTATGATAGTAACTTTATAAAATTGTTTTAAATTTCGATTTTTCACCTGTGAAATCTGAAGCTTTTGACAATGGGCTACTGAATAGTTGTGAAATCTGAAGCTTTTAACAACAGTTAACTGAACAGTTGTAAATTTTGAAGCTTTTGACACTGGTTCACAGAACTGTTGTGAATTCTGAAGCTTTTGACACTGGTTAACTGAATATTTGTGAAATCTGAAGCTTTTGACACTGGTTAACTGAATATTTGTGAAAT